AGGGCAGTAGAAGTATCCACGTAACCAGCTATTATTTTGATGCAGGTACTTCTGCTATGTACTTTTTCTGGAATCTTAGCCCATTTACTTTGTAAGAGCAATTTACTGAGATATGGAAAAGAAAATCTCCACATTCGAGGACAAGCCGAAGATATGCAAGAAAAATACCTCCGTACATCAGGTCCTCATAAAGCTTTAAGCATGCTGTTGCCCTCCAGAACAGAGAGAGGAAGAAAGGTTCTCTGCAACAGTATCATCACTACCTTTATCATCTTTCATTACGTTGGCCAGAAATTTGAAGTAACTGAGAGCACTATTTGTTTTCCATCATATAGCTCCATCTTCCAAGCTAGGCAAGTCATTCTCTTACCACGTATCAAAAGCAGGGTCTATACAAAAGCCGCTATATAACTCAAAAGCGTTGGGAGCAGTAAGGACCTTGGAAAAATCCTGGACAGCTGTTCCAAAAGCACCTTAGCCACTGAAGCCCAGTACAACACATTGACAGCCATTTGATTGACAGCACTTCAGTAAGTTCTTCTATACAGAAAATCGTACATGGAGACCAATTGTCTAACCCAAACAACAGATGTAGTTATAAAGTCTCGTTTGCACAGCAGAGTATCAAAGTATTCAAATGCGCTTACAGACTGACAATCAAAAAAGTAGAACTGCAAAAAACATACTACAAAACAAGACGACCAGTTTTAGAGTACACCCAATTAGCAGCCATGTGTTAAGCATATTGCATGCGCATACAAACTGTACGGGAAATCAAACCGTGCTGTTTTGGCAAAAGTCAGTAGGATAGAAGGGAATCAATCTGCACTAGAAACGGAAGGAAATTCAGCATTAAATCATCTAACTGAATCTAAGAGGAGGAAAAAAAAGTCTCAGTCTTGATGCAACTATTTTATACTATCATTATCTTACACTGAGGAAGTCTATAAGCAAATCTGAATACATATTGTATAATAAAAATTAATTTGTTACCCTGACAGTCATTTTGACAAAAGGTGTGAACTGCAAGAAAAAAAAAAGGGGGGGAGGGTGGAAGCGGGGCAGAAAAACCATTATCTTACACTGAGGAAGTCTATAAGCAAATCTGAACACACATTGTATAATAAAAATTAATTTGTTACCGTGACAGTCATTTTGACAAAAGCAAGGTGTGAACTGCAAGAAAAAAAAAAAGAGGGGTGAGGGGGTGGAAGCGGGGCAGAAAAATGCCACCGATTAGATTTGGAAGGAAATGGGAGGAGGTTGTGGAAACCAAGAGGACACTGAGGAAGTCTATAAGCAAATCTGAACACACATTGTATAATAAAAATTAATTTGTTACCGTGACAGTCATTTTGACAAAAGCAAGGTGTGAACTGCAAGAAAAAAAAAAAGAGGGGTGAGGGGGTGGAAGCGGGGCAGAAAAATGCCACCGATTAGATTTGGAAGGAAATGGGAGGAGGTTGTGGAAACCAAGAGGACAGATGGGGAAGTGGGCCAACAAGCTTTTAGGATAGGCTTGTGTGATTTCCAACAAAGCAGAGAAGATTAATTGCATAGTATTCTCTAAGCTCTACTCAATAAATTTTAATACATGGTTTAAAGCTACGCATACATTCATTATATCTATACAAATTAATAAGAATAGCATTTATATAGGGACAATATAGTGTAACCTTTCATTTGAAAAAATTCCAATGATCTTGATTATCTATTTATTTACAGCTTATTTGCTATTACTCCAATAAGCTGCTGAGCTCAGCACAGAAAAAAAGTACTATTAAGTGTTGGATTAAATACTATACAGCAATGGGGTAAACATAGAACGACATTTTAACCACGAACTTCATAGTAAGAAAATGCAGACCTTGAACATTGATTCAGATCAGATAAGAGTATGTAAAAGAAATAATCTAATGGAAAGCCTTAAAGCCTAAAAGATGTAAGCTGAAGACAGCTATCCGTTCTGCACACACCTTTAATTTTCATCTTTAATGAGACTTGCACAGCAAGGATTAGAAACTCTTAATCTCTCCTAAATTTGTTATGTAATTTGTACCCTTAGCTACAAATAGATGTGCCTATATGTAACCTAGCCATAAGACAGAAGCTGTGATTTTCCTCTGTAATAGATGCCAGAATTGCTTTAGGATATATTACGCATTGGAATGCGTATTCAGGATATCTCACTCCTGTTAAGAAATCATGTTTTAAATAAAATTTAAAAATCAGTAGTCAAGGTTTCAGCGGGGCTCACATCCCTCTAACGATGAGTTAGTCAACAATGTGTGTTCTCATTGCTCTCTGCAGTTTGCAAGACAAGACAGACACAAGTTTAAAAAAAAGCACCAAGAGCAAACTGAGCAGAAATGTTTCAATGTCAGGGTACATCTCTTATGCTGAGTACTACTAATAAAATGTAAAATTTAATAAGCAGATTTTTAAATTACAAACAGGTATAAAATGTCTCAGTTATCACAAGTTGTATGGCTTTCCTTGTTCTTTCACTAGATAACGTCCTTCAGATCAGATACAACCACTTCCCTTCACCTCCTTTCTTCAAACAGTACAGAAAGATGGGCAAAGAGAAAATGAAGCAAGCTGCCTGTAGCCAGCGCTACTCTTCATTAAGACCAGGCAGACCTGCTTTCAAATCCTTTACCAGATCATGCAACCTCTTCCAAACCCTGCCAAACACCACCCATACAAGGAGGAGCTGCTCCCCAAGCAGCCCGCTCCCTTATCATAGGTTCTGCAACCACCATCACCAAAATACACCCTGCCAAACACCACCCATACAAGGAGGAACTGCTCCCCAAGCAGCCCCGCTCCCTTATCATGGGTTCTGCAACCACCATCACCAAAATACGTTTGATGAAGTACTTGGCTTGTTAGAGAAGATTGTCCTCCCACACTACCAACCGCGTGTGCTCCCTGCAGTCCCGTAAGGCCCGAGTGGTACTTGGCCAGGATTTAGAGTATTTGCTGTGCGTATGTTCTCCGACACATCTCCACGCCTGTGCTGCGACTGAGGCTTTACCTTGCATTTCAGTCCACAAATAGAATCTCCCCCAGTGTGTAATTGCTGGCAAATGAGAAGGTACAAGCCATAACTGAAGCTCTTGCCAGTCTGTACATAAAGATTTCTCTTCCGAATGGATACTCTTGTGAAAAACACAGCATAAACAGTCTAAGCTGTCCCCACATTATCAGCATTTACAGGCTCTCCCCCCTCCTTTTTCAATTATCTGGCAAAGGTGCAAACTCTGTGTAAGTACAGTTTTTTTTTGTTCTGCAAATATCCCTCTGTCCAAGTCCTGCTACATCAGAGGTACCCCAAGCACTGCACCTGCTGGATAAGGAGTGCTAATACCTCTCCATCCTACTACAGGATAAAATTGAGATCACAAACCGATTTTCCATCTTAAAATTAAGTCAAGTCTTTTTGCAATAAAGCCAGTGTATCACATTGTACTACAGGGCCCACACAACAGCTGTTCTTAACAGATTCTAAATTATTTTTCATCCTCTGACACTGAAAATAAGATTGTCACCAAAGCTGATGCTTTTGCACGCTCCCTATTGCTACTGCTCAAGCAAAAAAACACTGCTTGGCTACAAGCCCTGACTAAGAGAAAAACGTAACATTTCAAACCATTCAAAAAGCTATTTGAAGCATTTCAATAGATAAGCTATTCTGACAAACGTTGGTAGATCTAAGTGAAAACAGACTCTACAGCTTTCATACGGAAGAACAAGTATGGAATGCAACACCTCCAAAACCAGCAGAATTCCAGCCCATCTGTATCTGCAGCTGACAATAACCACACATAGAACTACCATTTCAGAGCTTTTACAGCAACTACAACTGGATAGAGCATTTAAAACATTTACAGCTGTACTCATACAATGAGATTTTAGTAGTTGAGACACACAGCACCTCATGGAAAAAAATCGGAGATGATTTGACCTCATTAGTTTCCATGGTTTTTAGTTTGAATCCATCTCTATTTTGCTCCGGCAGCGTTACTAAAGCATACTGTTCATTTTGCAAAAAAGTAATATAAAACTACCAAAGCCCTTAAGCCAGTGCTTTGAACAGTAAAGTCAAACTAACTATTGCTTGTGGTGGAACAAACAACTGCAACCAAGACTTTAAAAATGCTGTGTAGATGAACACAGAAGTCTTGACTCAAAAATGAAGAAAACAGCTAGATGAATAATCTAATTTTCAAGTACAATTTCATTTTGAGGAAAAAGTTAGCTGGCAGCAGCCAGAGGTTAGATCTCAAAACTTTACACAAGACTCTAAAACCCTCATGTGAACTCGGGAGTAATGGAGAGGCACATCCAAGACTCCCAGAGCACAGCGCAAGGTTCTGCTTCTGTCCTCAAAACCTCCCAGATCCTTGCTGATACTGACACTCTTCATTGTGACCAGCAGCTGAGCTGCTGTCCATAGGCATTACCTAGCTATTAACGAGGGGGGTGAAATCAATGGCATAAGAGGTACAAGATCTTAAGTCACCTGATTTATATTTCACAAACAGCAGACAGGAGAGGAGCTCTACGAAGAGATCACAGGTTCACAGAAAAACTTGTCAGAAAGGTGGGAAGGTATCTCTATATGCCACCTAGTCTAATCTCTAGCTCAGCTCAGGTCTCATTTCAAAATTGGAGCAAAGTGCTCAGTACTTTATCCAATTTAGTTTCAAAATTCTCAGATACACAGATAATTAACACAGTAGAAAGAAAAAAGGGTGGCTCTTTTTCAAAGAGGAGCTAAGTTCATTCCAACAAATCAAATATTACAAGATACAATCAAAAGCTTTTGCATCCATATCCATATCTGTCTCCAATGGAAACGTGGCAACCTGTCCCTAGGCACAATCATAATTTAAATTAACAGACAGCACATTGTGCTGTCTGCTGCAGCCAACTAACTGGAAGCTCTCATGCACAATTACTTTCAAAGGAAACATAACATAAGAATTTCTTACCTCCAGGCCTGTATACAACATCATCCTCTGTGATAAAGGACGTTATTTCACCATTGTCTGTTCTCTCGTATCGGGACTTCTTCTTGGGTGGTTTCTTTTTGCTTTTCTTTGTGGACTCCTCTGTGGTGGCACTGTTGTTGTCATTGTCCTCGTCTTCACTATGGTCACTTTCCGCATAATTCTTGGCACCTCCTTCCAGCGTACAGCTCCGTCGAGGACGTGAATTCTCACTCTCCCTCACCTTGTCTCTCTTGTCTCGCTCCTTATCCCGGTCTCTATCCCTGTCCTTCTCTTTGTCTTTGTCTTTTTCTTTGTCCGCTGTCATGATTCGCCACGTGCCTTCTTCTGTCCTCTCACGGCTGGGCCTCCGTGAAAGGTAGACAGTGAGCCTGGGCTTCAGTCTTCTGAATTTCTCACTCAAATCCAGGAAAAATTCAACCACTCCAATAACCCCAGCGTTTTAAAAAGGTTCTTGAAGGGGTAGAGGGGGAGAAAGAGGGGAAAAGCCCATGTTAATATTCAAAATTCTTTCAATTTCTGAAAACAAAAATTAAAAACAAAGAAAACCCGACATCCTAAAGTAATTCAGTATGGAAAACACAAGACAGTAAAGACACAAGGCAGTATTTTGAAGCATTCATAGAAATAACTTATGAAGTGTCTGTAAAATGTCTGAAGCTATCTCTATCCTCAAAAAGATCTCACAGCTCCTTAAAAAATTTCTTTCGTTCACCACAGAAATACAACAACTTCTTGGATGGGAAGTGCTTACTGAGAACAAATATCATTTTATACCTGTAGGAAGCACGCAAGTGGGAAAAAGAAAAAAAACACACCACACCACACATTTAGAAAGGGACAAGTCCAAGAAACAAAGAGTCTACAGCTTTTTTTCTCAAAGCAAAGGAGAAAGTTCAGCAAATGGCTGTATTGTTTTACATCTGAACACCACTAGCAACGGATGCCCTACAAAGCTGGTACAGAGCAAAGAATGCCATCTGCCACCTCCAGGGCAATCTGTTAGGAAGTCTTGCGCCTATCCTGCTTTTCCAAAAATAGAGCTAACCTGTAATCCACAGATTACAGGAATGAATTAATTGAAACCAAACCAAAACACAGTAGTTTCAACTGCAGTTACAAAATCTGCTTTTCCATATATTAAAAATATGACCTTTCATGCTTGCTTTACCAACACATGGAGATGGATTTTATAACTCCTGACCTTCACACATTCAGTTTCCTGCTGGGCAATAGGAAGGGAAGAGATAATCCTATGTCTTTACTTCCCTGATCATTCAATCAATACAGTTAACATCAACGGCATCTTTTTTCTCCTTCAATGCAAGTTTAGATTTAAAAAACTGGACTTGCTGTTGCAAGAGTATTTGCAAGCTTGGACCTACGGGCCCGGATCCTCAAACCACAGCCAAGTGCACAGAACAGTTGCCTGCTGTCGGGGTTGAAGCCCCGTGGGCAGCTAAGCACCACACAGCCCCTCACTAATGCCCCTCCAGTACCCTGCAACTGGGGTCTGGATTAATTCCCCATGAGACACTATTAACATACCTCAGTCAAATGAAAAGTAAAGAATAGTGGCCCTATGCAGTTATATCCTTTATTCTTTTGACTCAAAAATTGAGAGTTTCCTTAAACCGTCCTTTCTGTTGGTCAAATTGAAATGATCTGGCCTGACAGGTTGCATGACACATCTTCAAGTGACAGCCAGCAGCACATACGTTAGAATTTTTTGGTACTCGCTCTGGAAAGGCTCTAGTGAATTTACACCAATTGAGGTATTTGCAAGCGCCTTTTAATACTGCTCAACAGCAGCAGTCTGAACAGATACAGCTACTGCTGAACAAGAATCAGAACATACCTTTTTTCCTGTAAAAATTCACAAAAGAAGGGTATTTCAAGAAGGGTGCATCCAACATACAAAGGTAGGGTACTTTTTTTCCCTGGATCACCAATTCAGGATAAAGCTGAACTTACCCACATCCAATTCATAAGTTTTCTGGAAGTTACTATTTGGTGTAACTTGAAACCAGTCCACTGTGTAGAACACTACAGCATGAAAGTTCACGAACTAACAAGACTGAACGTTCATGCATTACGCATTTGAAACCACATCAGAGAAGGAAAAAAGACTATTTTGATTTTTAACAAGTCAGCTGAGAAGTCAGTGATCCTGTGTTTTTGAAATTTCTTCACTCTTACATGAATCTCAGACCACAATATTCTTGTCCCTGTCGACTACTACTTCGAGCAATGGAAATAGCCAAAGAGAGACAAATTGCTTTTGCTGATACAATTCAGGCTGTGGCTTGAATCTCTCAGGCATTTCCTGAATGAATTGATCATCCAGGTAGGAAATGATTCTATTTTCTTTCCTCCTTATAGCAGCTGCCATCATTCTAATAACACACAAGGGGAACCCAACAAAACTCCAGTAGAGAAGACTACAATGAACCTGTCAAGTGCCAGAGAAGTTGCAGATAATAGCAATAGCAATGGTCTACAGGGACTCAATAAGAAATGTCTTAAATTTCCAGAGGCTAGGAAAATCCCCAGTAGCAAGCTTGAGGGTTTTTTCTATTGTTGTTGATACAAAATTCACTTCGGAGAGTAAATAATCTATTCATTTTGAATGAAAACTAATTACTTTCCCAGGGCAATCTAAAAATTAGAAGTAATGGCATCTCAGCCTTTGTAAAAGAGATCTTTATGCCTTCTTTAGAGATCAGAACCTGAAGGATATAGGATACACCTAAAAATTTTATTCAGTGACCTCCAAAGATGGATAAAACCCAGCCACTTCTGATTAGTCTTCTATACTAGCCCCAGTTCCCAAAGACTCAATTTTTGAGTTAGGTATAAAACCACAAGAAACTGAAGCCTAAACAAAAAAGTTGTTCTTTTCGAGCTTTTTCCATTGTTTCCCATCTTACTTGTAGTATACCAGTACCCTCTCCTGTTTAATAAAACTCGAATGTTGTTTACAAGTTAATTTTGGAGAACTTAAATTAAAAAAGCCAAGGAGCAAGTCCTCTGGTCTTGTTTTCAATGAAGTCAAGAATGTTTCAGCTGCACCTAAGCAGCACTTGCACAGCCCAATATCATTAAGAGACAACACAACATGGAACTCTGCCCACGTGCAGATATACACCTTACATTTACCAGTTAGGTTTACCACCGGTATAGGTACCATTGGTTCTTAAGGTTCCGCAACATCCGAGCTGCACAAAATCATGATGGAAAAACACTGTTCATTTTATTTTCCAACTTAGCAGATGCACAGGCAGTGACCAAATGCAACGCAGCTATAACCAAATGACTTTTTATATTCCATCATCACTTCTTCGACAATAGTCGTCTTACAGCTTACAAAGGCAAACAGACACTACTTTCAGGAAACAACTCTGAAAAAAGTCCCACCTGTACGCCACCTGTGAATTTTCTTCATCTCTCTCTCCTGAGCATAAAGCACTAATTTTTACGATAGAATCACCACAACTTTTATCAAGAGACATACTAATTCAAGTGTCCACAAAGAAGCTGCACCAGCTTGTCTTTCCTCTCTCAAGGATGGAAGCATGTCTTCCAAGTGGAAGGTTTCAGTATCACCATCTTTTCAACACTCTAAAAGACCACACCCCTCTTTTGGGACAACTGCAGCTCAAACATCTTCCTTTGACTGCAAAGTACAGAATATCCTTTTTTAAAAAAAATAATTTCCTAATTAAAAAAGAAATAATAATCCATCAGTTACCACAATAGTTCATTACTGGGGATGGGTGGCAAACAACAGAAAAAGCAGGCTTGAAACCTGGCTAGCTACAGGGCTTTTTGCTTGAAGCCTCAAGACGAAAAGCTAAGAAGGTACCAACCACCCCACATCTCTAAACATAAAGGATAAAGGAATTTAAAGTTCCTGCCTGAAGGAAAAATAAAGTTGATTAGTAAATGACAGATAACTCATCCATATTAATTTTATCTGCATCCTGAAACATTCTGAGCTCCCCCTTGTATCCTCTAAGTCTCAAGGAACCAGAGTTGCGCAGATAATTCTGATAAAGCGGTCACAACTGCGGCACAAGCTGCTCCTTGCCAAACTTTACTTTGAAAGTAAATTTCAAGTGAACCATTTCCCACCAGTGGAGTCTGTTCAAGGGTCAACAACACATCAAATACACAGTGACTTCCATATGGCTGGCGAGTAAATCACTTTACAAAAGTAACGTACCAAATGCACTTCCTCTTACTCTATTCTTCTATCTTCATCAACACTTTTTACGGGCACAGGCAAAATCAACTTGCCAGCAGAGAGAATATCCTTCTACACAACCTGCCATGAAGCCCAAGAGAAGCCTCCAAACGTCAAGGGTCACACGCTGCCAAGGAAGCACCAACAAATTCCAGTTTTTGCCATTAACGAACAAGAACACACACTGCAGGACTTAACAGACCTCTCCACATAACTATAGATTTAAGTCCTTGTTGTTTCTCTCAGATTAAATTTAAACAAAGTACTTCAGTGTTTTTAGTACAAGACCAATTATTATGGGGGTTTTCCCCTTTTTTTTGCACAACGAAATTCTGCATAGAGGAGTAACATTGAATAAACAAACACTATGTTCACAGTTTACGGTAGGGCTGTGCAAAAATTTGCATGCACCACAACTTGCTCAGTTCATCTATGAAATTTCTAGCTACTAATACAGCAAAATTGCCACCCTCACCCTAGTTCCTGTTTCAGGAGAACCCCCACAAAAATAATTTTCATAGCCAACGTACTTGTGAACAGTACAGGAAGCATCTTCATCTAATCAGAGTCTCTATCTAGTTCGACCAGCATTAAAATCAAGTGATGAAATCAATGCAAGCACTATTCAACTTTCTTACACAAATATATCACATTTCCAAGACTATTTTACTACAAAAAAATATTCAAGTTCAAAAATATTGCAGGATTAAACCAACATCATCATGAAACAATGACTGCTTTTGTCTCTCCAAGAATAAAACAGTTGGCTTTATAACCTTAAGAGTAGTTGCACCACAACTAGGAAAAAAAAGAAAACAACAGAGGAAAGATACTGGTACACGACCTCAACCATGTAGCAGTAATACAGGACTACCAGAAGAGCAAACAAAAGTTGTTTTTATCAGCAACCACCCAATTAAGATTAAGCCATTATTACCACAGAGAAGTATTTGATAAATAATCTTTATTATTTAAGCAACGATCCAAACATGTTTTAAAGATTCAAGATATATTTTGCCTCTACAGTGAAATACAACACTGTCTCTTGCTACCTCCCCACT